ACTAGAAACAGAAAAAAGAATAAGATGGCTAACCTGAAAGGTGCTTGAAAATATGCCATCAATATCTAATATCCATCAGAGGGGACTCCTGTCACCTTAGCCCTAATCTGGGAGAACAACCAGTTTTTTATGACTCTGTCAGATTGAATCTGCCAGACAGGAACCACAAGAGATAGGCAGTCTCTCAAAAAACGTGGCTGTATGCCACACAGGACTTTTAGGTCATGACCAGCACTTTGGATCACACCCAAAAACAAATTGACAACTAGTGCAATCTATGGAAATGGGTTCCAAGGTGTCACATGGGCATACTGAGGTATGTTCATAACTGCCCACAGCACTGCATTCTGAGCCAGTCAATGCTTCTGAGTGATCTTCAAGGATGGTTCTATGTTGATCACATTGCATAGTCAAGCCAAGTTATGACTAGATAGAACATGAGTGACTGAATGTTAGTCATAGACCATGAAAATACTATAGAAATTCTGTGTGTGTCATCTATTTTGTGCACGAGCCATACAATGCATTAATGGGATGTGGTCGGCGACAGTTTAAGTAGGACTGAGTTCAATATGATTTTTATATATAATAATACATATGCTGAATATTTCTGTCTGTCTGTCTGTCTGTCTGTCTGTGCTTTAGGCATGAAAGGTAGTTGGGTACTTTGGGCCAGTCACTCTCTCACCCCAACTCACTTCACTGGGTTGTTATGGGGAAAATAGGAGGAAGGAGTATTAGCAATAGCAATAGCACTTACTTATATACCGCTTCACAGTGCCTTACAGCCCTCTCTAAGTGGTTTACAGAGCCAGTATATTGCCCCCAACAATCTGGGTCCTCATTTTACCGACCTTGGAAGGATGGAAGGCTAGAGTCAATTTTGAGCCAGTGAGATATATTCACTGCCTTGAGTTATTTACAAAAATAATAAAGGCTGTATGTGTGAGAGAGGCGTTCTTCAAAAGCACTATTGAGGAAAGCATATATGTATCTATGTATGTATGAGTATATATATGCTTTCCTCAATAGTGCTTTTGAAGAATATCTTTATTCTGAAAGTAGCGTTTTATGATTTCTTTTATGATTTCTGGCAGTTCCAGATTGGAAAAAATTGGTTTATATTCCAGAAAAGTTTAAATTCCATTTTTTTAGATGTGATTTTTTTTTTTACTGAAAGCAATTAGACTGTATGAAACAACCCAATATCTTAGATTATCTCTACGGCAACATTTCTTAAAATTTTCAAGATCACAGACCATCAAACTATACATTTATTTATTTATTACTGTATTTATTTATATCCCACCTTTATTTTTTTACAAACAACTCAAGGCAAAAACATACATAATACATATACATACATATATTATGATCATCTGTTTTAAAAAAAAATGGGAATAAAAAGAATATTAAAATGTGTTTGAAAAAAATGTACTTAATCCATCTCTCTTGTTACCTGGTCATCCTTCTTCTTCTCTTACATTTTCCAGCATTAGAGCCTTTTTCAAATGTGTCTGAAGTAGGATAATTTAAGGCTGGTTATTTGTGCCTCAGATGAGAATTTTGGATTGATTTGTTCTATGATCCATTTGTTTGATTTCTTGGTTATCTGTGGTATTTCAGAACTCTTCAAAATTAAGGTAAAATAAAGCCATGTTAGATTATGTAGAATCGAATTTTCTCCCTCAGAGAAGCAATAAATTTAACTTGGCAAATTTAGAAATCCATAAATTCTATGTTCTATTTTGGTATTTGGCATTTGTAATCCATGGATCTAGTCAGATTAGCTGTTAAATTTCTCTTTCTACAGATGTTTCCAAATGGAGAGATGCTGGTACTCCTCATTAAAAGACACTGTGCAACTATATTGTCATTCTCATCTTATTAAATTGTGTGTGATAAGGAAAAAAGTAAGAAGCATTGGGAAAATATAGGAAAGTCTCCAATGAAAACAATATGTTCTCTCAGAAAGTTAGTAGAGGCAAGGAGACTGCATAATAAAATCCTGATTCAGATATATGCTGGATAAGAAAAATGACAAGAAAATATTTTTTTCATGTCTATTGATAATGATGTGAAACATTTTTGTTTTCGCAAAACAATGGAATAAAATATATGGAATAAAGATATGGAATAAAATGAGATGGCATTTTAATAGTTGTCTCTATATGAATATAATGCATATCTGCTTTTAGGTCTGAGATGGTTATTATGTCACTAAATAAATTTAGGTATACCATTTTCATTGTGAGTACATTGCCGTGAACTCTGTATTACTTTTCATCTATTGTATATTGCTATAAAGGGTTTAAATTACAATGTAGCATTCCAAGTCCTTAACTGCACCATGCAAATAGAAAAATCTTATTTGCTTCAAAATCTCTGCAAAATGTTGACAGTGCAAACATGAAGTATGAAGAGGTTTGTAATTGTATATAGCTGATCACCTGCACCTTCCATTTCAAGTTTTGCTGCTTCTCTTTGTTCAAGACCCTCTTGATTCAAAATACCCAGCTGTGTCCATTCTGTTTGTTCCATCATAATAATAACTAAACACATCTGCTTATGTTCTTTGTGTGTATTATGATATATTTTGTTTATTTAATTACTTCATGCATTCTCCATTTCTTTCCAAGGCAGGTCAAGCTTCCAGTTCAATATCAGTATCACAACTTTAGGCAATATTCTCCATGGGAAAAACTGGGGAGAGACCAAATTGTTCCACTTTGGCATAATTACATGTGATGGAGAATCAAAGTCCAATTGGTGCCTTTAAGCAGAGACTTAATATGTAACAATCTGTTTGATTTGGAAATTAGCTTGTGTCAGCAGATCCAGAAAAAAACATCCTTGATTTATTTATTTTGTCCTTTGGACAGCATGATCTGAAGCCAATTATAGCACCATCTCCACTTGTCAATCATGGGAAAAGCAGGTCACAGGGTTGTTTGTATAAACATTTTAAACCAAACACACACCAGATGACATGCTCATTTGTAATGTGAGCTGCTGCTTATTTTTCTGCTCTTAAAATTTATTCAGCAAGTTAGGGAGACATTTTTATGCATTGCCAAAAGTGAACATTGAATCCACACATCTAAAAATTAGTTTTCAGACCCTGAAGTTTAGGTTTTAGCTTTGCCTCTATATTAACCTCCTATCTGTGTTGCTTTCTTTTTAAATTGTAAATAGAAAGATACCATCTGCATTATTTTAAGCAATGGTCTTAAGCCTTATCTCTGAAATGTGAAAGTTGATTGCACAATGAATTAATTGTAAAATTAATTTTTGCAAATTAACTTGAAATATCATTTGGAAAATTGAAAATGACTTGGTATTACTTTTACTTTCTGTTTTTGGGCAAGGATGGCAAAACTCTGATTTTTGTTTAATGATTTTGCTAAAGCCTCGTCCTAAACATGGAATTCCTAAGGTCATCTCTCTGTTCTTGATTCTTTTTGGATTCTAGCATGCAGGGCTTTTTTGTCATAGAATGCCCAGAATTGAGTTCCGGCACCTTTTTTGGATGGAGCCTTGTAGGGTAGGCAAGATGGATTGTATGACATGTGTGAGTTCTGGCACCTTTTTTTTTTTTTTTTTTTTTTTTNTGAACCTCACTAAAAAGAACTTGTTACATTTCCATTTTATCAGTTTATACTCCTGTATCTCAATGTTATGCCAAGATATTTGGACTCTCATGCTTGAGCTACTGAAACTACAAGCAACAAATAAACTGATAGTTGAACTGGTAATTAAGTAGTAATTTAAGTTTTTAGTATTATTATTTAGTCTTTGCCTCAGTACAGATGGCCTTCTATTGGGAAGAATCTTCTTTAGTTATCTCAGGATAGGTATTTGAACTGATTGCTCAAACCATTTTGGAGTAATTTACTCCATGAAATTGTTAGTGATATTTTCAAGCCTACATTTTTATCACATTTCAGGCTGTCTATCATGGGAGGATTTTAGAATAACTTTTCAGAATAACTATAATTTCAAATCCAAACAATTGCAATGTAAATTATATATCTAAATATGTTTTGAATAGTAGGGAATAGACCTGCAGTTCCAACAACAGATACTAGCATACATTTGAACGGCAAATTATGCCAAAATTATCTATAGGTTTTTAGGGCCAGGTAAATGCTGTTGATACAATATTTTCAAACTTCATGTATTGGTCGGAGAAAATTAATATTTAAATGGGAAAGAATGAAACAATGGATTGTATGAAGTGGGGACCTCTGTTTTGGATGGATAAAACTGTATGCTGCTATAAGTCTCTATTTGTTCCTCTACTGATTCTTTTGAGTGATGGGGAGGAATGAAAAAAACATTGAATTGTTTGTATCAAGATTATGAAAACATTCAGGAAAAGCTAGGTGGCTTCTTGGAATGAATGAACTAACATATAAATGAATGAATGAATGAACTAATTTCTGAACAATGAGAGACAATTTTAATCATGTGGAGAACTTAACTGTTGAAATAAGAGAGAACAGATTCAGATAAAAAGGGGGGAAAGTCCCATGTACCATGAATGAACCCCAATAAACAGGTGCTTTCCCAGACTCTTTCTTATATATACCACAGGTGAAAGTCAAAAGCTTCAGTTCTTTGTTTAATCTACTCATATTTCCCTGTGAAACAATATGTTTTACTATGTTTTTTTTAAACAGCCAGGATCTGAACACATTGTTTGATCCTGGTTTGCTCTTGTGATCATAGTTAAGTTGTTATGAAGAGCAAAACCATCTTATTTCCTTATAATGGAAAATGGAGAGCATACAGGCTACTGTTGGTTTTTTTTTAATGTTTTTCAGCACATACATTTTATTACAGTCAAAACAAGCAATGGTCTCTGTGTACAAACTGAGCAAACGTGAATATGCTTATGGAGATGAGATCTTCATTTTTGCAGCTAAAATGGTGCTTTTTACCGCCCGTTGCCCAGAAGGATGCGGAATGCTAAAAAATCCAGCCGTTGCCACGAGAATCAGTGATCTTGAGTGGGGTGTGTCTGCTAGGTACTATAATGAAGGGGGTCCAGTCTGATTGTGCTACATGGAGAGAGGCTTCCTCCTCCGCTCTGCTCAAAGGGACTGCTGTTGCATGGAGCCCCTCATGTGTTCCCAGTTGGAGAGTGCATAGAGACCTGTGAGCATGAGTCCTGCAATGCCACCTCTGGCTATCCCACGCAATCCACCTGTATTTTTATACAACATCCCTGTCATGGTCCCAGCTGCAACTGTGTTGAGATCGTCTTCTGCACCTCGTGTTTTTTCAATAATGATTCCAAACACACTATACAGCAGCACTAGAGATCCAAGAGTGTTTGCCCACAATGCTCCTTGCCATGTCACCATATTTAAAATCTGTACATTCCTAGGTTTGGACTAAGCCATGTTTTGTGTCTCCTTCAAACCTTGTGTCAAGCCATTTAATGCTCCAAAAGCAGCTCCTGTAATGCAACATCTGCCAACAGTAAAGAACGCCAGTTCAAATCTGCTCCTGGTTTTATTAGCTCCAGTAGGTATAAGATATCTAGGGTCAATATTTAAATAAGGGGACAAGGGATTCATTCCAGTCAGAGGGATAACCAGCCCCGCAACTCCTCCCACGTCGAAGAGGCCGGCGAATCCAGAGCTCTTCAAGTTCCTGGCACCTCCCTCCATGCTGGCGGTGGAGGGCCTGGCTGCCCTTGCTCTTCCTCCTCCTCCTTCTCTTTCTCCTCCTCCTCCTCCTCAGCACCATGTTGCACTTGGCGCCGCACCTTCCTCCTGAACCGGTTACTGTTTTTGAGAGCTGACCAAGTAGTACTAGTTTAAGATCTGAAGTAGATTTTGCCCAATGTTTCACACAGGATAGTTTGTTCCTTCCCTTTGGTTGTCAAGGGACATGCATTTCCTTTGGAGTAGGAGTTCAACTCAGCTCATGCAAAGACTCTCAGCCTTATTGATAGTCAACTGGCTACCAATATTGAATAAACATCTCTGTCAAATTTTAAAAAGGTAAGCTATATTTAAAATATTTAAAGTGTATCAAATATCAGCAATATTTGCCAATACATTGAAAGTAGCAATTGGTTATATTTTGCAAGTACTTTTCAAAATCTCCTAAGTCATTTATACCTTAAAAAGATACTTTAACTGTTTCTTCGGTAGCTCTCAATATCCATTTTAGTTTTAGCATTATTATCATAACTTCTCCATGTTTTGATCTAATATGTGAGCAGCTTAATAAACAAAGACTCTCGTTCGGGCCTTAGGCATTTTCTCTTTATGCCATTGATGAAGAAATGTCACCTTACTCTCTAACTAAGAATTTGAATCTTCCTTGTTGATTCAAATTAAAATGTTTTACTTTTTCCTTTCTGTATTTTCTCTTACTGTCTGTGTTCATACTACATATTTAACCTTGGTTGAAGTGGCTACATTCACATACCTTCTAAGCTGTATCAATTTAATTTGTATAATTTACCAAATAAGAGTTCAACAGATGATGATTTCTGTGATCCATAGTTTGGGTGTATTAATGTTGATTTATGGAGTACCTTCTGTTGCATTTTATTTGACTAACCTGTGAATTTTGAGTATACAGTAATGATATCATTTTGATTTGAATGTATGGTTATTAGTCTGACTGCTGTTAGTTTCTTTACTTCTAGTTAGCTACTTACACTGATACCTTATGTACGCACTTTGTCTACCTTCCTGAATCCAATGCAAACACTGGTTTGCAAGACCTCTTAGGCTATCATACTTGAAGTCTCCGTCCTACTGTGAGTTGCTTTATTTCTAAGGATGCCCTTGGTTTTTGCTTGCACTAAAAATATAGATGTTTTAAAAAAAGTACAGTGTCACAAACCTTTGAAAAAGTGATTGCTAGCATGCAGTTTCCATTGAGCAAATGGAAACTGTGGTAAAGTATACTCCAAGGAGAAAAAGATCTAAAGAGATTTAAATAGTAAGTCAACTGAGAACTGCTATGCTAGGAATGGAAAATGCACAGCTTCGTTCTTCAGAAGAGTGTCAAGACTAAAAAAGGCTCCCCATACTGCAGTGTTCTTTGTTACATATTTTTTTTTAAAAAAATCATAGGATGAATTTTCCAACCCCAAATATCTAATACCTGTTATATTTAATCAGATGCTTGCAATGCATAAGACATCAAATGTCAATAATTTTTTGATATTAACCTCTTATAGCCCTCTTTCTTACCAAGTTCTCTTTCATACTCTCATAAAATAAAATACCCCCAACAAGCAATTAAAACCATCGCAAGTTGGTTTCCTATCCATCATCCTTTTGTTTCATCTCAAGAGAGAGATGTCTAAGGATGGAAAAGATGAAATTATTTTCCTCTTAATACATCAATAATAATTGTCTCTGTGCATATGTGTGCAAACTAGTTAGCTAGAGCTCCCTTCTTTGCTCACATCTAAGCGAGGAATAAACCATATTTGTTAGATAGACAGACAGACAGATAGATAACCTTTATTGTCATTTTCTTACTGTGGGTACAATGGGACACATTAAAAGTGAAATTTAGTTGCTTGCTCTCAAAGTGTACACATACACTTTGTTTTGGTCACCACATGTAAAAAAGATATTGAGACTCTAGAAAGAGTACAGAGAAGAGCAACAAAGATGATTAGGGGACTGGAGGCTAAAGCATATAGGGAATGGCTGCTGGAATTGGGTATGTCTAGTTTAATGAAGAGAAGGACGAGGGGGGACATGATAGCAGTGTTCCAATATCTCAGGGGTTGCCATAAAGAAGAGGGAGTCAAGCTATTCTCCAAAGCGCCTGAAGGCAGGACAAGAAGCAACGGGTGGAAACTAATCAAGGAGAGAAGCAATCTAGAACTAAGGAGAAACTTTCT